AAAAAAAAAAAAAAAAAAAAAACGCCTTACTCAAATACCTTCTTTGTGGAAATTTTTTACTATTTAGAGATGGATTTTATCTGATCTTCTCCAAAGAAATGCTATGCACGTGTCGTAACAAAATCTCCTTTTGGTTAATGTTTTATTAGATAACAAACATTTCAAAATAAAATATTTTATATATATATAATTTTATGCGTTTACTGTAAATATAATCCCATCTTACTAAAAATAGTCTTCCCATAAAACGCAGCGTTTCGTTATTACATATATTACAGCTTTTATAAAGCGTCATGTTTCGAAATCAAATGACTTAAATATTGAAGTATCGGAATTTTAATAATCCGATACGAATAAAAGTACAATCTTTCCAATCAGTGTTTAAAAATTTTCAAAAATTATCAAAAAAAAAATATTCGTAAAAAGGAGTAAAAAAGAACAATGAATTGAGTTATTAGATGGAAACTTTAGAAAAAGATGCTTTCTCTCATATCTATTTTTTGATTAGTTTTATTATTTAATAATAAAAAATAAAAAAAAATAAAAAAAAAAAAAATTTTTTTTTTTTTTTCTTTTTTATCGGATCTCATTTTCTTACATGATATACGGATAAAGATTTAGTATTTCGCCGTTTTACGACTAAACCCGAAAAACAATATTTATTTGTTTTTCTTAATCGATTTAATCGAATTATTTATTTTATTTCTCGCGTGGCCATTCATCCAATTGGTATGGATGAACAAAATGCCTATGATTTATCAAGGAAAGGATCAATTGCGCCCAAATTTTATATAAATAAAGTTAAAAGAAAATGTGTATCTAATCACTGAGTAAATATTCAAAAAGAAAAATGCCAAGACATCCACGAGACTCGGGATCAAATTTTTAATAATACCATTTTTTATACATGGAATAAAAAATCCAGACCAAGTATTATCCATATAAATTATTTGATTGGCCTGTTTGGAAATCCTTTCCCAGTTAAATTATGTTGTCATGTAACAATTTGTCTTGGCATGCAAATATCTTGATATCTCAAAGTTGAATTTAATCATGTAAAATGTAAATAATAAAATCGTGAAACATATTTTTTCTGCATGATCTTCGAAAATTTATTCCAGATTTGTTTGATAATTATTTTTCTCTTTATTAAAGAGATAAAAAATAAAAAAAATATTTTTTATGTATAAAAAAATATTTTTATATTTTTTAAATTATAAAATTTTTTCAAACATTTTAATAGGTAAATTAATTCCTCGGTATTTGGTAATAAAATTATTTTATTAAGTTAGTATCGATTTGATCATCGAACTCTGGAAAAATATTAAAGAAAAATAAAAAGAAAACAAATAAAGATTAGTCTCTTTTTAACAAAATGACTCTTTTCAGGGCGTATTTAAATAAATAGATGTACAATCTATTACTAGTCCCCCCCTTAAAAACCCCAAATTTGGTTATAATGATCAACAACTTTTGAAGGGTAACGGCGGTTCGGCGATTGATTATTTAATGAACCAATAATAGCGATTCATGCAACATAATAATTGGTATGTTTCGCAAAGATCCATGATAAAGGGTATTTGAATTAGTGATAATCATTTTAATTGGAATATTCGAAAAAAAATTCATTTTAATAAGTTTCATATTTACTCTTATTATATTTTTTATTTTCCATTATTAGTATTCAAATATTTAGTAATTTGGTTTCAAGATTATTAAAATCCCCTTTCCAAGTAATTAACAATGAGTAAAACATTCTAATTCCCTTTTTATTTCATCTTCCCGATTTGTTATCTTAATATTTGTTTCCGATTTTCTTTTTTTTTTTTTTTCTTCTTCTTTTTATTTTTATTTCAACTTTATGTTTCGTTATTGAATTAATGAAATCCATGATAACAGTGTTGACCATGTTAACCATGTTATTTCAAAAATCTTTTCCTAATTCCTCCTATTCTCCAGGTTCAATAGCACGAGTTATTACGTCAATGTTGTAAATCCCTTCGACATCTACCGAAACTCCTGATAATTTGACGTGACTCTGCATATTCTTTATTAATATACTAGTTTCATGTATTATTATAATAATAAAATTTTCTTCACGATAAGAATTTCAAATTTGAATGACTGTAATGATCATAATCAGTTATCGCTGCATTACAATCTACCTAACATTTTTTTATCTTTTGAAGTTTTTTTACTTATATATTCCCTTTTTTTAACTAAATACAGGTAAAATCAAAAAAAATCTTTTTTAAGATGAAAATTTTTGATTATTCATTTTATATTTAATAAAATTAAAGTTAAAATTCTTTTAATTTTTGAAGTTTATCTTAATATAAAATTTACTTCTTTTCTTTCAATTTGACTTTTTTTTTTTTTTTTTTATTTATTTATTTATTTACTTAATATTTATTTATTTGTTTGGTTGTAAATTTTAGAATATCGTGTTACCGCATATCAACGAACCCTTGCACCCTTGACACTCTTGGGATGAACTTGCACATTTTTTACTTGGGAATCAAGGGATTAAGGGACTAGAAATTGAAAATCGGATCCTATTTTTTTTCCTTCACAATTCCTTAAAATTTTTTCCTTCGCAATTTCCTTTTTTTTCTCTTTCCCGATTCCTTTTTTTTTTTCTTTTTAAAAAAATCATTTCTAATTTTGGTAAAAATGATCGACACTTGGTTGGTAATTGGATACGAAAAAAAAAAGTAATTTTTTTTTCGATTATTTCGATTGGATTGATTTTGTTATTGTTTTTCCGATTTTTTGATTAAAATTCCCAAATATCAAATTATTCAAATTATGTGATGGTACAATAGTACAAATAGTACAAAGAATTTTTAAATACACCATCAAGATTGCGTTATTCCATTACTATTGTTCATGCAAAACCATAAAACTTTATCAAAGATGATTGTTATTATATAATATACAGTAACCAAATTTAAATGATAAAATATCTTATCTTTGATTGTGTAGAGTCCAAAAGGTTTATATTATGTAATATTAAAGAATTAGATGATGTAATATGTCGGTCCATCCCTTGTCAATTCCGTAAAAAAAAAAATAATTATAACGTAAGTTAAAAAAGGGAAATCATAGAATGCCTGGTCCTAATATAATTTCTAGTCTTCCATATTATGAAATCAAATTACTAAAGAAAATTTCACGTTGGAGTTTCAGCCGTTCTGGATATTTGTAATTCCATATTCGAATCTGGACAATTTCATAAACTAACTCTAGCCAAATTTGAATTTGAAATTTCAAATATTAATATTCGGAATAATTTTTTTTTATAAAAATCCCTGTTTGTTAAAATGGCCGATTTCTCTAAAGTTATTTGATTTTGTTTGAGGTATTGTCGTATTGATAGTAAAAAGTTCATACGATAACCAAATATTTTCTATGCAAATCATTGTATTTTTGAATTACAAAAAATTGTTAACTAAAAAAACCAAAGATAATATTATTCTATAAAAAATTTATAAATTTATTAGTAATTAGATTTATTAATAATATATATATATAAATTATTTCACTGTATTATAATAATTATTATGTAATATTATAAATTATTATTACTACTATTAAGCATAATTTCCATTTTTAATATATTAAACTTATTTACAAAAAAAAATAATATATATATATATATATACTGTATAATACAAATATTTAAACTATATTCAATATTAATAAATAATAGAATTTAAAATAATATATATATATAAACATTATCAATTGCATTAATATTTGATAATATATTTAAAAGCTTATTTATGTAATTGCATTAAGAAATTTGGTTTGGATAATTATTTTAAGTTCTAAATTTAACTTTATTTTAATTAATTAATATTTTTAAATTTTAATTCATTATTATTACAAATAACTGTAATAATGATTAATTTATATTTAAAGTACCATATACTTCCAAAATTAAGCACCCTTTTTGACCGTAATGCTGGCTAGCAACAGCATAATGTAAGCCAAAATTTTCATAATTCTGGCCAGAGTGCTTATTTTTGGGAGGTGCTTAATATCGGAAGTATATGGTATTTAGTAAAATTTAATACTAATTTATATAAATTTTTAATAATTAAAATAAGAAAAATTGGATTTTATGCATGATGCATTTTATGCACCCCGGCATAGTTAATTTTATATGCATGTGATTTTAAATTGATAAATTTTATTTTTTTTTGTGATCCCAATATTGATCACATGATTTAAGCTTTCATCAAGCTTTTTACCCACAGTTACATATAAACTTATTTATATTTACCTTTTCTTTTCTTACACTTCTTTCTTTACTTTTCTTTTTTCATTAATTATTTACAATATTTACAATATGAGTGATAATGAATCCATGTCAAGTGATGACTCTAATACTGAACTTTTTAATAAAGAATTTCTTCAAAATATTCCTGATAATAGTTACTTATCAAGTGATGATGATTGTTTTGAAGATACTGCAGAATCAAATTCAACTTTAAAATTAAAAGTTAGCCAAACTTTTTTCTCCTGGAAGGCTGCGTTTAGCTACATCAAACAGTAGGCATATCATCAAGGTTTTTTATTCGCAAAGGAAGATCAGAAAAAGTAGACACTAAACGAAGAAACTAAATAATAGTGTGTCGTTGTAAAGGTGTATACATTAATAAATCAAAGAAAAATAAATTTAAACCATCAAAATCACAACGAACTAACTGTAAATGGCATGTTAACCTATCTTAACAAAACCCCTAATAATACTGATATAACTCATATAAGGAGTTGCGTAGAGTTTATATGAAAAAAAAATTTGAACTAGCAAATTGAATTTGCATAGATCAATTAAAAATCTATGAACTCATAATTTTGATTTGTATAGATTAATTCTAAATTCAGACTAAGAGTTTTTATATGTATAAAGATGATCATTTTTTGGGGTAAATGCAAAGTATTTTACATTATAAAAAATTTTTCATGTTGTGGCAAATTTCTTTTTTTTAAATATTTTCCATAATTTATGTTTTTTATAATTTAATAAAAGTAAATTTTACTTTTTGTTTATAATCAATTTATTTTTATTTATTGGATTTTATAAAAAATCGCCATAGCAATGTGTCGCAAGTGTCACGTGACTTTACATATGTGAATAATTTGTCATCCCGCGTCACATCCTCTAGTTTTCCATTTTTATTATTTATTCTGGGAACTTAGAATTTTTCAGTGCAAAAAATACTATTTGTCACTACCTATACATTACATGCTTAATTTCAGCCAAATTTTATAACGCTGGCCAAAATATCCTTTTTTGGAGCTTTAGGTAACGTTATACAATCCAAAAAGGAAATTCTATTTTTCAGCAAAATTCAAGTTTTTGTTACACAAACTTCCAAAAAAGGAACTTTATTTGACGATCTTTTAATTCCGGCCGGAATTATAAAATCACGTGACACTGGCGATGCATCGCCATGGCGATAAAAAACAAAACCCTTATTTATTATATATTTAATTTATAAAACATTATTATATTTATAATTTATTTTATTTTTATTCTTTTTTTTAAAAAAAAAAAAAATTAGTAATTATAGGATGATGAATTTTGACAAGTTTATTAGGATGTAATGGTTGAATTTATGCGATTTTGGGCTTGTTGAAAAGCCTTTGATTTGCTCTATCCAATAATATAAAAACTGCATATTTTGGTTGGATGGTTGATGAGAAATTATGTCTCAAAGTTTGGCAATAAATAAAATATTAATACAATTAAAAAAAAATAAAGTTTTAATATAATAAAAAATAAAAGCATTTTTAAAAGTTTATAAATAAAATTTTAATACAATCAATACAATGGATAACAATTGATAAATAATTTTTTTTGAATTAAAAGTTTGATTTGTGTAGAGTTTATATGTAAAAAAAGATGTGTAGAGTTAATAGTAAATGCTTGCTGATCATTTGTGAGTTATATTTATCAGGAAATTTAAAGATTGATAAAATTATATAAATTTATAACTTTTATATAAAGTTAATATAATTTTTTATATAAAATTTATATATTTATAAAAATATATAAATAATAATATTTTTTAATATAAAAGTTACTTATTTTTTTATGTAAAATTGCATATTTATAAACCTATATAAAGATTATAATAATTCATAATTTTATT